TCTCCAGTGGGTTTTAACTAGACGCAGGCCTCCAGGAGGGTGTATGGCCTCAAGCTGAATGATTTGCTCACTTGTCTTTCTCTCATACTTCACTGGGAGACTTCTTAATACAAGGCTTCCAGAAAGCCTCCCCTGCTTTTTGCATCTGTTGCAGGAGAGATGACAGCTCTTCCTGGGTCCTGAAGAGTCCAGTAAAAAATGAAATGATCTATTTGAAATATTTCACCAAACAGGCTCTATAAGTAAATATGATTTAATTTTTTTTCAAAGAAAATGAATGCTTTTGACAAAAATAAGTTTTATCAAAACAAAACAAAACACTTCTCACGCTCTGTTGGGTTGTCAGCCCAAAGAAAACAAGCAGAACATGAAATTTTGGGGGACAAATAAAACGCTTTTCTCCTACTTCCCTGTCACCCTCCTTATTCTTTAGTCCCATTCTTTTCCTCCTTACCCCTGCTTTAGTTGCTGAATCTATTCTCTCTGGAGAGGAAGACTCATAAAATATATGGTGCTATATATAGGCTTAGTAAAATGTTTGTCACAGCTCAGCTTGCCCGACCTAAGGTGCTGGTGGAAATAAGGTAAGTTTTCTCTTTTTAAATATTTTTGGTGTTCTTTAAACCTAACACGGTCCATCATTTTGTGTATTTATTTGCCATGTCATTTAGATGTATAATTACATGCATTTCACTATACCTCTCTAAAGGAGTGAATTTCATCTTTTTTAATGCATTGTAGGAATTTTGACTCATGTGAAACATAGTTCCAAGAGAAATCAAGTTACTGTCCCTTTTCCCTTCCTGCACAAATAGGAAGATGTTCAGTGGTTATGGTGCAGGTGTTGCTTCCTCAGTCCCTCCTACCCCTCCCGCCAAAGTTTCTAAATGGTACCCACCCACTTTTAGAAATAGCACTTTGTGGAACATGGAAGGAGTTTCTGCTCCCTGCATATGAGCAAAACCATCTGGTTTAGTTGGTTTGGGCAGGTCTTAGAAATATATTGACAGATTATTGAAATACGAGATATTTGGGTGTCTTGTAGTTTTGCCGGTTATATTGCTCCTGGGGGGAATAACAAATTCAGGTATTGTGAACAGTCTGTTTAAGAAAAAACACACAACTAAATAGGTTCAAAATAATTAAAATCCAAAGTCCACCTTGTGAAGGTGGGTGCCTTTAGTAATGCTCAAATGTAGATTTTTCCCACATACTTCCATTCCCTATCTGCCCAAAGAGGGAACACTCTGCTCATATCTGAGTGTCATCTTCCCCCAAGCAATCAGCAATGATTTCTCTCTCAAAGGGTACTTTTCTCCTAATTTTTCATTTTGATTTTATTCTTAGCTCCAGCTTCCATGGGGTTACTGTAGGATAGGTCAAGAAAACAGTCTAGTTTGTGTCTTTCATCCATGATCCTCATTCTCTATCCCCTGTTCATCAGAGGATCTTCTGTGAGACCAGCCTTAACTAAAAAAGATGATACCACATGAGTTTTCAGTGAGGCTGTGTTGAATGGGCATTTGTGTGGTGTTACCCAGAGGATTCGTTGAAGGCTCTCTGTTCTACAATAACAAATGATTCAATGTTCCACTGCTACAGACTGCTGCATCCCAGAAATCTTCATCTGCAATTTTGCTTCTTTACTCCAGTCATGGGTGTCATTACCTGGGAAATTCAACGACAGGGTGTCAGACAACTTATTAGTTTTCTGTGTTTAGATCAAAATTCATGACCTAAGCAGCCTAAAGGGAATCAAAGGATTGTTTTGTGATCAATCTTGATTACTTAAACTATAAAAGAAGGAAACATGCATCTAATACATGCATCCAATATGTATCCAGTTGCAGATCATAATTCTCCTAGCTACTAAAAAGAAAAAGGACAGTGCTGGATAATTGATAGCTTTGATAATATTTTTTTAAGTTCTCACCAGTTCCCTTTTAAATCTCAACTTACAAAATGATTTCCTCCTTCTTATCTGGACCATCCTTTACTTAACAGCAAAGAACTCTTCACATTCATTGTTTCACTGATGCTTTGTGCTTGAATCTTCCAGAGGAGTTGTCCCAAACTGAATCCGCTTACTTCTAAAACCTATCCATCTGTATGTTTCAGCTTTCAGCTTGTGTCTGCATCTTGCATCACTTATCAATCCATTTTTATGCTTAGGCTACAGATTAGATTTGCCCTTCCCCTCTATTTGTGAACATTTCCAGCTGAGTTTAAACCTCATTTTCCTTCTAGTAGGACAGATTGACCTTTTCTCTTGATTAAAGGTAAATGCCATTGACTCTCCACTTTTGGAGGCTGAGAGTTTTCCAGAAGCTTACTGAGATTTCTCTATTTATTGCTTGAAAATAAATATCAAACAATACTCATTTCCCTGCCGTTTTATGGAGATGAGTGTGAATCTTTTTTCTACTCTTAGAGTAATGAGGATTAGTGGGGTGGGAGGTAAAGTGTAATCAAGCAGTAGGGTATGAGAGGTTTCAGTTATTTTTTTCACATTTTTGGTCACAGGCCATCACACCCTAAAGTTTTAGAGTCAGATTTTCAATCTGACCATAGTGGACATTTCAAGGAATCCAGAAGGTACCTGCAAAATATCAGCAGCATTTAACACACACTGGGCTGAGGCAAAGCTTGTTTTTACATCTCTATGGCTGATGTGGCACTAATGTAGCAATGTCCTAAAACTGATTGTGTTTGTGTTAGTATTTTTCCCTCTTATCTGTTTCCAATCCTAAAAATTAAGTGATGTGCGAAAATTGTCTCAAGAACAGATGCCACCTATAAGAGCTCTTTAAATAGCCTATGTTTGTAGCAGTTCTGCCTCCGTAGCCAATATTTTCCACATCTTTCTTTACTTTCTTCTTTCTTATTGAAGCATTTGCATGTAGAATAAAGAGGATAAAAACATAAAAAAACAAAGGCAGATTTGTTTCTTCTGAGAACATCTGTTCTTGCTTCAAAGTACCCACAAGATGTGGGTCCATTTTCTCCCAGTGCCCACACAGTGTGCTGTTGTTATCACTCATAGACCTGAATTTAATGAGATAAGGAGCAGTGCTATCTAATCAGTTGAAATGTAGGGA